TACAAATACACGTGATAGATTGTGATACAAAACATTACACAATAATAGTATGCTTTTATAACAAAGGCAATGGCTAATACAACCTAACAGCTAATGACGTAGGTAGGTTTATCTTTACTTCTGGTGAAGGTAGCGTATTTGATTTATACATGAAGTTTGTTCTAGCTTATTATAGATAATAAATACACAATTATTTGAACTATTATTGCATATACAGCATTATACAACATAGTCTTCAGTCTTCAGTAATAAGGATAGTAAGTTGATGAACCTGTATTAATATTGACGCACTGCTCTCCGGTGAAGGTCCAGCTTCTCCTTGAAAGTATTCACTGATGGGGCTGATACCACTTGTTCGGGTAAGGCGTTCCAATGATTGACTACTAGATGAGAAAAACGGAACCCCACTTTCCGTTTACTAGATCTTGGTTTATGAACCTTCTTGCTATGACCTCGGAGATTATTAGTGCTGGAGGGAGCAAAAACATAAGACATATTAACACCCAAATCATAATTAAAGATACGAAATGCCAGTATAAGGTCAGCTCGAGTCCTACGATACGACAAGGGGAAAAGATTTAGGCGTTTTAGACGTTCATCGTACGGAAGTCTAGAAAGACCCTTCACTAAGTTCGTTCCCACACGCTGGACACGCTCAAGGGAGTTAGTATCCTTTACCAGACATGAGCTAGCTGCTTGGATACAGTACTCTAAGTGTGGTCTTACATAGGTGGGATATAAAATTCAAAACGTTTCCTCGGCAAAAGATTTGAACGGTCGGCGAAATGACCATAACTCTCGGAAACCTTTGACAGCGGCTGCTTTGCAATGCGTAGTTGTTTTTAAATCATGACTTAATACTACTCCTAAGTCCTTATGCTCTTGAACGCATGGAAGAGGTTTACCCTCAATAGTGTAACGGTAACTATTACCGCGACCGATGTGCATTAGTACACTCTTCCTAGGATTAATTTGTAAGCCCCAACCTCGAGCCCATCTAACTAAATCGTCTAAGTCAGCTTAAAGATCTAGATGATCAGCCTCACTTTTTATTGTTTTCCAGATTTTTACGTCATCCGCAAACAATATCTATGACGACCTAAGCAACAGCGGTAACTCATTAACGTAGAAAAGGAAGAGCAGTGGGCTGAAGATGGTGCCTTGGGGTACACCATTTTTGATCGGATTCCGATCGGATAACGTCCCATTGACCCTTACTCTCTGTCTGCGGTCACATAAGAAATTACCTATCCACTCATGTACAGTACCTATTATTCCGAAGCTCGTGAGCTTCTGCATAAGACTACGTGTGAAACCTTGTCAAATGCTTTGCTACAATCTATGAATATCACATCGACAGACAGACCGTTATCTAGGGCTGCTGTCCGATCCTCCCTCGCAAGCAAGCAAGTTAGTCAAGCATGAACGCTTGTTACGAAATCCGTGTTGCTCAGGAGCTAACAGATTGTGTAAATCTATGTGGTTGTAGTGTCAGTTATTATGGCAAGCCCATATACCTTATTCTAACTTCCGGACATCCTATTTTATTCATTTTACTTGAGCCATATTTTGACCTTGTCAATTATTCGCTTATTAGCCTTGACTGTTTTCACATGAGCGTATATGTGTGTACACTTCATGTCCCATGACTCATTGTATGTCTGTAGCTTATTTTGTCTGCCTATAAATACTGAGTAACGCTTAATTAACAGGGAGTTAGCTTCACAGCCATCCTCCCTGTGCGTCATTTTGCTTGGCTCTGTTTCATTCACTTCATATACAAAATATATGTATTCAAATGCCATTCTCGTTAATTGACTTATTTAATTCCGTTATGGACTAACGCGATCTAAGTCGACGATGATATACGAGAATAGGTGATAACAATCATTCGTACACACTAAATGGAGTCAAATCATCGGGCCACTAAATTGGTAAGCCCGCCGACGACGAACGCAACGCAGCAAGCTACGTCGATGAAGGCACTTCTGCACTCTATACGTTCGAAGAACATATTCAGCGAAGCCAGTGCAATCTCCAATCCGACGCAATCAGCACAGCCTGTGCAACATGACATGGACATGCTCAAGTCGTATTATCTTATCGATACTTTGTCCTCATGTCCATTATCCTCATTGATCCATTCGTCGGTTTGTTCAATTACGATTCAAATTATCATTATATGCTTATTATTACATTATTGACAATATCAGGATCGAATGTGGAATTATTAATCTTGTTCGTGCTGTCATTAAATCATGACATTTTCGCAATCATATTACTCACCGAACAAATTATCATTTTATGAAAATTCCACTCCACTTTGTAAGAACTCATTGGGATATTTTTTACTATTCAAAACGTGAAATTTTCCTGCTTTAAGTGAGTTCGTTCCAATTTTTTCCATGTCATTTTGAACTAATATTGCATTCATTCACTTAGTCGAGGTCAGCAATTTATATTACCACAACATACATTTTTCATTTCGAAATCGCCTCCTATTATGTCTGTGGATGCTTCTGACTAGCTGATTAGTAACCATTACGCTCATTTTATCTATTCTCCCACGTGCATAACTACATTCTGCATCACTTATCACTCGAAAACGCTATTCGAGTACTGCAACTACTATTCTATTCTATACCCATCGCTCGGTATATCAGAACATAGAGTTTAGAGCTAGCCTCTCAAAGATACACTCTTGTTCGTCACATCCAAGTCAGTCTCATAAGTCGCCATCGCTAATCATATGTATTGGTATTTTTGTCATGCCTTGGTACGGTTTTGTAACAAACGAGATCGAGTGCATCTCCCTCAAACCACTCTAGACTTCATGACCAAAAAGGAATACGACTCTACGTACCTCGTCTACTCAGTCACTATTCTGTTCCTCTGGTCATTCTACTAATACATATTTAACGACAACTCAATTCATCTGACATAACGCAGACGACAAAGTTCACTGACTTCACACTTCAAATTTTATGATTATTATCAATTGCAGTACAGCAACGAATATCACCCGTCGAGGCAGATATCATTTCACGACTTTCCTATTATCATCCTACGCATTTAAATTCGAATTCACTCATCACTAGTCAATGCGATTTATTCTGCTGCGGCTCAACAGAACATGTATTTCGCATATTTCACTATTTTGTCAGCATCACAGACCAATTTCTGTCATATTCTACTCGAGCCATTTTGACGATTTATTTCGCTGTTATACCTACAAACAATCTATTACTACTTTCACGATACTTTGAATCACTCTTACAAACATGTTATTTTATCGTTCAGGCAGTCATAGCATTAGTACATGTTAATTTTTTGTACGCTCATTAATTTGCTCATATTCACATGCTAACATTTTCATTTTTGTCCGAGCCTTTGCGATATTCATGTATTCTTTTGCATAAGCATGACATTTTCATATAATACACTCACCCCTCATGTGACACTACTGTACTTTATCGAGTGTTGTACAATTTTTTTGGCTACTTATTGTTAACATTAACTACGCATCACTTCACTGTTATTTTCGAAAACACATTTTTTAAATGTGTTATTTTCTACAAGGGGGCTATGTAGTGTCAGTTATTATGGCAAGCCCATATACCTTATTCTAACTTCCGGACATCCTATTTTATTCATTTTACTTGAGCCATATTTTGACCTTGTCAATTATTCGCTTATTAGCCTTGACTGTTTTCACATGAGCGTATATGTGTGTACACTTCATGTCCCATGACTCATTGTATGTCTGTAGCTTATTTTGTCTGCCTATAAATACTGAGTAACGCTTAATTAAAAGGGAGTTGGCTTCCCAGCCATCCTCCATACGTGTCAAAATTGCTTTGTTATGGCTCTCGCTCGCTTAGCATGCGAACGGGCATAATCATGGTTTAGTAACCTAACCGGAATAATCTTTTCAAGTAACTTAACGACTATACTAGTTAGCCTAACAGGCCGGTAGTTAGATACGATCTGTCTCTGACCATCCTTGAATATAGGACTGACTATAGAGTCCTTCCAATCTCTAGGGAGTTGAGCGAGTGAAAGGGACATGTTGAAGAGTTTCTCGAGCGGTTTTGAAATAATGTCCGCAAAAGAGATGACAGCAACCGTGGATGTAACCCGTCAGGGCCCGGTGTCTTACCAGTTTTGAGGTTAGTTATCAACGGAAGCAGTTTCTTCAGTCACCTGTACAGATTCAATGGCGGGTATCTCAGTGTGAGTGGGACAAGTATTTGTTACAATAAACGTAGAGAAGACTTCGCTAAAATAGTTTGAAAAAGTCTCGGCTATTGCTCGATCTGATTCAGCTAGTAAATCTGAATTTTCGTGTAGCAGTAACGGGGGTATACCATCACTACGCTTCATTCGCCGTTTAACATACGAAAGCAATCGTTTTGGACAAGTACGGCTGTCATATACTAACTGTCGTTCGTAAGTGGTACGGCATTCGGCTATGGTTTTCTTACAGATATTGCGGAATTTCTGGTACTCACGCTTAAATGGTTCATGACCTGTCAACAAGAATAAATCCCAGAAATGTTTCCTACGCTTTAACAGCTTCCGGGTTTCCTTATTAATTCATGGAGGGCAACGTGATAGCTTACGTGCTGACCATGGGATAAACGGCGACGTTACGGACTCGAATGTAGCCTTAAACTTATTCCGTTCATCTTCGATCAATCCATCCGCGTCGACCGACCAATCAGTCAAGATAGCACAGTTTCTGATCGCCGGAATATTGGCTCGCCGAATATTGGGATGGGGTGGAGCAGACACGAATTGTATACCATGTGTAGTAGAAGTATGGTATTATATAGTTGCAAAAACTATGAAGTTTACGTGCAATCACAACGTATCTGAAAAGTTTGAGAGAGATTTTTACCATCTTTTTAAGAATGCGACAAACTCTAATCCTCTTCACTGAAATTTTGAGAAAGATAATGTTCACAATTGCTCATTGAATAGTCGCTGAACAACCTTGAGGCTGAGATTGGTTACGTCGCAATTTTATCAATGGCGCTACATATGCTGGTCTTTTCAAAAACCATTCTTGATAATGTTTACACTTGGAGTATTGATCTGTAGTTTCATTATAAGTAAGCATTAATGTTAAAATCTTACATTCAAGATGTTCTGTGCATCAAACGCTTTGAATTTAAGGATGAGTTAACTCATTTTGACATTAGGTATTTTGAATTTTTTTATAAACAATCTACATTAAAGCCTTGAAAACTAAATAAATAATGAGGAAGCACCTAAGGACTATAAATATATCTGAGTTATCAACCATTCGGCACAACTCTTGACTAGTAAGTGGAGGTTTATATATATATATCCACTTTATATATATATATATATATATATATATATATATATATATATATATATATATATATATATCCAGTCTTCAGTAATGAGGATAGTAGATCGGTGAACATGTCTTAATCCTGACAGATTGCCTTACAGTGAAGGTCCAGCTTCTCCTTGAAAGTATTCACTGATGGGGCTAATACCACTTGTTCGGGTAAGGCGTTCCAGTCATTGACTACTCGATGAGAAAAACGGGACCCCACTTCAAGCTTATTAGATCTCGGTTTATGAACCTTCTTGCTATGACCTCGGAGATTACTAGTGCTGCATGGGGCTGGGCCCGGTACCTTACAAATTTTGGTGTTAGTTATCAATGGAAGCAGTTTCTTCAGTCACCTGTACAGATTCAATGGCGGGTATCTCAGTGTGAGTGGGACAAGTATTTGTTACAATAAACGTAGAGAAGACTTCGCTAAAATAGTTTGAAAAAGTCTCGGCTATTGCTCGATCTGATTCAGCTAGTAAATCTGAATTTTCGTGTAGCAGTAACGGGGGTATACCATCACTACGCTTCATTCGCCGTTTAACATACGAAAGCAATCGTTTTGGACAAGTACGGCTGTCATATACTAACTGTCGTTCGTAAGTGGTACGGCATTCGGCTATGGTTTTCTTACAGATATTGCGGAATTTCTGGTACTCACGCTTAAATGGTTCATGACCTGTCAATAAGAATAAGTCCCAGAAGTGTTTCTTACGCTATATATATCGCAGGGGTTTAGCATCACCGTAAGATCTTACAAACCCTTGAAATAATACTCATAACTCATTTCTGTTCTTACAAAAATCATAGTTCTTAAGCGGGCGTACTATATAGTTATGCGACTTAGGGCTTTTTATATGCATATATTTTATTTTCCAATGAATATTGACTGCTCGTTTTCCACCACTTTCTTTGACAGTATCTCACGGCTGAAATTGTCACCGTGAATTTAGAAAGCCCTTGCACATCAAATTTCGAAGTCGTGTTTGTCTGAAGACTCGTTTAAATTATTCCCATCCATCGAACACAAGAATGGAGAGAGATAGGTGATATTTGAGAAAATATGGGAGATATAAGCTGAGGAAATTCGGTTTTTTCCTACGCTGAGAAAATAATGAGACACTTCGCCCAAGTGTCTCCCATGAGGCGGTCTCTGAATTCACTCCTGAGTTATCTTCAAACTGTTCACGTTTCTTCTAACTTTACACCAGACTATTTAATTTCCTCCTTAATTTACACTAAATTTCGTTCTCGCCTGCAGCCAAGCTATATATCCCACCTCTCGTCTGAATAACCGGGAAATTCGTCTTGACTTCCTCATAGAAACGGGTATTAATGCGAATAATAATTAACACTGTTTGTTGACTTTTACCGATCTACTCTCAGTAGTCTTGCAAAAACAGATGTCTAACTTGCTGGAAGTGTGAGGTAGTTTTTCCAGCACAGCAAGTTATAGGTTGAATAACGGATGTTATAATGCTCTTAGTCATTTTTTAAGGTTGTTTATGTGATAACTACGCACAAAGAATAATCTTTTTGCAACATCTAGGTAAACTAAGTGCTTCGCATCTAAGGGTAAGGCTGAGACCATATTAATGTTAAGGATTTTGAAGTGTGAAACGCCTTGATAGTAGACATCTTGGCCCTATCTACGGAAATTGTCATCAGTTGGCAAAGTACACACCGCTGGAGAACGTCATTCTATCGATAAAACATTGTCCTGTGACTACACACTTATCATGACCTCCTATCTCGTTATGACCAGCTGTGTACATGGCGTCAGAACGAGCTGGGGCGTACCAACATTTAACTGGCGTAACTCGGAAACAGTATCCGGAACCATGGTATTTATACTGGATGGTTTAGTGTGCACACTATATAAACCTATCATAAACCACTATTCATGAGAGAAGCAATGAGTCCCAATGTAGGCCAAAGTTGTTGATTTAAACTATTATAGACTGATAAACCATGCACATTAATCTATAGACCGAGTCGATCTGAGAATCGGGTAATCAGAGTTCTACATATTTTAACAGATTGGCTTCTAATGTTAGATGGAAATAAACGTCACTGTTCAGAAACTTTGACTCTACGCTGTTGCTTATTTGGAATTCACTCCTGAAAATGGTTGGGAGATGAGGCACGACTCCTCCAGACTGACCCACGATGTATTCTCCAAAGCGGACGGAAAACTCACCAGGCAATATTATTTCCATGATGATTAGATTCGGTCTCATTTTTTCATCCACCGGTTGTTAAGCGCTCGAGTTACGAGTAGTTCCGTCCAAAGTAAAAATATTTATTGATTACTTTAATAAGCTATCATTATTGTCCAGAGGCCTTGAAAAAGCTTTGCTACTGGACGCAACAGGAATGTGGGAACTCCCAAAACCGTCTGTTTCTGTTGCAAATCCAAGTTTCGGATTTCACATACACTCTGTGATTGTCACAAGAGGACTTTTTTCCTTTCTTATAGACTGGCACAATTAGTGATTAAGACCAGTCAGATGGGATTCCGTCCAGTTCCCAAATTCTACCTAAGACCCCAGTCAATCTCACTGCTAATGCTGAACCACCATCCTTATAAATCTCAGAAGTAAACCTGTCAGGGCCTTCTGCTCTCCCTCGCTTCAGATTTCTTATAGCTTTTTCAACTTCGTCAAGAGTCGGAGGACCTACACTAACTTGCCATTCAGGTTGACTGGAGATCGTGGGAAACCGAAGTGTGGCTGAAGGCCAGTTGAACTGATCCCTAAACTGTTCTGCCTATCGATCGATCCAATCTCCTGGATTGAGAATGTATAATATGTCCATCTCTCTCTGAGATAGTTTCGCTAACAGTTAGGTTCCTAATACCGTTTTCCTTAACAAGTCTGAACAGTTGTCTGCTATTACCTATTGCCGCTGCCTTTTCCATCTCTCTTGCTTTAGCTACCCACCACTGTTCAAGATCATTGCGTAGGCTTCTTGTCAGCTTGCGCTTAAGCTGACTCCGCTCTTCATTATGTTCAGAGCCAGGTGGAATGAGTTTTCGAGCATCTATCAGTGCGGTAGATGCTGCTGAGATCCAGTGTTTCTCCCTAACTTTATGGTTTATTGTACTTTCAGACATCACTGCTGTTTCCACAGCTTTTCGGGTGTCATTCCACGCTGCCTCAGGGTGGGCATCACTTACATGGCTGCCTAACTGTTTTTCTAGTTGTTTCTGAAATATACTCTTAGCTTGACTATCATTAAATAGGTCCCTAAGAGGTTTACTTGCATCATCTTTCCTGCGTCCAGTAAGACGGCTTTTAGTCATTTTTCTTATCTTATACTCCTGTATACAGGAAATTTCTTCATTTCACAGAGAACAACAATACGACCATGATTATGTTCTCTAGTACTCAAATATGAAGCTTTTATTGAATGTAATAAGTCCGTAAATTCAATTTCCTTAGTATCTATAACTCGAATGTATCATACCATTCTGCATTACCAGTCAGATAGTGCTCATAAAAATCGAAACACTGATAAATCTAATGACGTGGTTTTTGCATATGTTAAGTCTAACGTTTACGCTTCGTTCTTAACATCAACTTTGATGTCAGGGAGTGAAGTAATTATACACAATTTTTCGTTTATTAGGAGTAGTATTGGCAACTAGTAAGTAGTGACTTTTTTGCTTAATAACACTGATGTGAATCATGTTTTTTTATATAAGGTTATCTCTTGGCTGTAAATAGTTATCTTGGCTGATGGCTTTGCTCTGAAACTACAGGTAGTTATTTATTCGACAATTTTGTACTATGTTACAATGATGTGATATATATATATATATATATATATATATATATCATTACACATGTACTCTCTTTGATTACAGATCTACCTCATCCCTGTTTCTAACTCCAACGAATAATTATCAATTAATTTCACCGTCATCTCAGTTAATCTACATGTCTGTAATTACATGGGACCACGTTGACAATCAGCAAACTTTACTAACAGAAAAACAACTAGAGTCAGTATTTCTGCTGAATTCACTGAATTCAATACCCGGAGAAGTAGGGAACAACCTTGTTAATAAACTAAAATCACTATAGACTACATTAAGCAGTACTACTACTCATACGACCTTCAATACTAATCAGACTGACAAATACGAGTATCAAACTACCCAACATGATGTGTCTATACAATCAGCCTCACATTTCTATTCATGGCTATGGTCTGTTGAACAAAAACTTAGTGCTGAAATACCTGAAGTACCAAGGTATAAATGAATTAAATAAAAAGTTATATTAAAAGCGAATTTTTGACTTTTTTGTCTCGTAAAAAATTGGAATGTTCAAAAGTTTTAAGCATCGTTGAAGAAATTTTGTCTAAATTATCGATTTTGGAAAATAATTACTTAAGCATATCGCAGAGCACTAATGAGTTACATGAGTTGTGCGAACATCTATTAAGGCAACAAGTGAGTTTTACAAGCACTACTAATGCATATGTCATATTACTTGTAAACAGAATGAAATGATTGAATATGCTAGTTCAATTGAAAAATGTCTAGCCAATTTTGTTCAAGTGGATATGTTACAAGCTGTAAGTTGAGCGTATATCTATTTTTTGAACTAAAGGAACTTGGAGTTTCCAATTTCGTCGTATCTCGTGAGAAGTTGCTGCCAATCCTAAATAAGCTTGATTCAAGTTTACTTTATTTCCTAGAACATGTAAGAATGCTCTTTCGAATCATTTGATGAGTTTATTTATTTGTTTAGCCGAATTTCAAAGAATCTCCAAACTATTTAATCAAGGTGAAATCCTCGCTTAAAATAGCTCTTGAATACATTAAAAGTAATGTAACTAATGTCATAGAAAGAACCATAAATGAGCTTCTGGAATTGCATGTAAGTTTGATCTAGATTGCGTTCTATACGTTTCGTGGATTTACTTTCTGTAATAATAGTACAATGAAGTTCGTTTACTCACAATATGTTTGCACTTCCATCTATGAGCCACACTACTTTGTATACATAGAGACTAATAATATTATCCGGTCCTCTAAACCTTAGTTAGTCGGGCAGGATTTATACATGCTGTTCAATAATTGTTAGTTGCATGTTGTAACCCCTAAATAAATGCTTAATTTGGACTACGCAATTAAAAAAAGTTTGGTAAATGGAATGAACATATTTAATTTAATAAGTTTTTACCAGCTCCTTACTGTACAGAGGACAAGCACACTGCAAATCTTCTGTTTTGACGTGTTGATTCCTCTTTCTATAAAAAAACTAAAATTTAGAATATTACAAGAAGTTGGAAACAACAGCATTCGATCTTAGATAGAAGATAAAGAAGTAAATGTTCTCGGGTGAATAAAAAACCCGAAATAAATAAAGATTATAAAGTAATCATGCGGAATTTTAAGTAGCCTGAAATAATAGCTAAATAAAAGAACACTGGTAATTGCATGATAAGTATTAAGTGCAAATCAACAATTATTTACGAAATTTTATTCGCAGTTATGAGCTATATTGCCCTTTGGGACAGCCAGTGATACTACCTAACCGTGTAAACTGAATAAGTGGAGTTACCTTTAAGTTTGTAATTCCGTTGTTAAGATTGTAAACACTAATCTCTAATCCACCACTCCATAAATATTATTTGGTCGATAAGTTAGTGATAAGGTTGACAAACGTTTAGATAACGAATTAGAAAAATATGTGGAATATACGTTTGAGAGAAGTTGAAAGTATTTTGTCTTAATATTGTCATAGAAGACAGAGGTTATCAACTGCCTTTTTTCTAATCATCTTTGTTCAATGTCATTCACCACATTGGCTCCAAAAGTTGGAATATAGCTAGAGTCTCTTGTCTATTGATTTTTGTACAGCCACCTAAAAGTCGATTTGACATTCTATGATGAACTATTGTACCATTTAGAAGAGATTGACTACTTGAATGTTGGCACCTGCATTGAAATACATAAAAGTAATCGTCCACCCTTTGTGAATTTGATGTTTCGTATGTGCAACAGGCAATTAATTCAGTTCAATACAACAGGACTAAACACCTTACTTAGTTTTTGCATCGTGACTAGGCACATTTCGGTGTACTAATTTAACTCCTTGACAAATCCTAGTGTTCTGTTTATATAATCATTAATGTTACTCTTAAGTATGGATTATTTTATCACATTTTTTCCGTATTCGTCTTGTATCAGTGGATGAGAAATCTATTGCTTTATTTATATTCGTTCGAGCACTTCCAACTGACCGTTTCTCACCAACCGTAACTTTAATGTTTAGTGTTTATCACTTCTTTAATAGTTTATATTGTATGTTTTGCAACTTGAACCGATACATGATTAACATCAAGTCATACACTTATGTACACAGATTTACGGATATTGAAAAGTCTTCTTATTTTATTTAACCTCAGTTGTTTTGTTTCAGGTGAAAAAGATATTTGGATACTGTGCTTTTAGTCCAACTATAATTGATTTAATGTCCTGACTGAATTTTCCAGTTAACTTTGTAACACACCATTTACTTATATATGTTATAGGATGTTATCAGCCCTGAGAACTCATTTATTTTACTTTACGGACGATTTCGTTCACAAGGACCAAAAATACGCTCGTTGATGACACTTTTAGAAGAAAGAATACACGTTACTGATGAGTGGGTTTTATAGATAACATTGTATTTATCAATATTTCTAATAATTGTCCATTTTTATCCCAGTTAAAATTATTTCTCTTTATTTTTGTTATTATTGTTGAAAAAGCTGTGTTTAACTTTATAAATTACTAGTATCGATAAATTGTGTTATATTCATGGTATAGATCCATCAGACCAGCATAATAAAGCCTCTGTTGATATGTTGATGACTCATCACTACTCAGGAGTAGATTTTTACAGCATTTTATTGGTGAGAAACATGCATAAACTATTGTCTGTTGCTCTACAGGTGTGAAACGTGGACAGTAAAATGGAAAACAAGAATAAACTCCAAGGATTTGATCTAACGTTTTCTCTCGGCATTACTCGCATATAGTAGAACCTCCGAATGAGCAATGCTAAAATTAGAAGCCGAGTTCTTTTTTGAGTGCGGAACTTCATTGATGAGACTATGAACTTTCGTCAATGGAGGTGGTTCTGATATTCTTTTTAGATCTCCCGTCTACCGCAATGTACAATGCTGTTTGATATTGGAGGAAGTTGTAATAAAGCCAGTGGTTAGTAGATCAAAATATGGAATCAATTAACTAAGTCATCAACTGCTGTCATACTGTAAAGTGAATTTGTTGTCTGAAACCCACTCAGCTATCTTAATCTATGGTTAGCGATGGTAGATGATATGGCTTAGAATCAGTTGTATTCATTCTACATACTTTCCATGTATCATTACTTTTACTTATTATGAAATTTCTAAATTAATAACAACTACCTGTGTTAGTTAACTGAAAAAGTGTAAATTTATGGGTACTAGTTTTCATGCGTTCTTGAAATTCCACCACATTCGAGCATATAAAAAGTCCATATACCATCCGACAAATTAATGCGGATGTGTATTATGTGATAACCTATGAATAATGGCCATTTTACAGATGTTCAAGTTCGTAAAAATTATTATCTCTAACTAGGATCTTTTACTTTCACTGTCCTCTGTTAATAACCTTTCGCTATAAGTTGGTTTTTGCTTACTATTTAATGCTTCACTTATTTACTTCAATCCTAAAGACACTATATATGTTTTGCAAAATGGTTCTATATCTGTACCAGTTTCTCAATATGATGAATCCCAATTAGTCACAGCTGCTTTAAGGGAAGGAGTTATGAATGGATCATCAGCTACAATACCCAGTTATTTCATAAAATATTCACGGTCGGGTATCAAGATGAATTAAACCAGGATGTTTTTGAATTTTATGATAACCGAAGTCCTTGAATTCTGATTTATCAATAAGTCATTTACGTTGATCACTATGTACATTTTTTAAAAACTTTGTAATTTATTTCTTAAGAATAAACTACACTGGTGAGCAAAAACCTAATTGAGTAGGGTTCTAGTGACATACACAACTAACCTTTTCCAATCACTAATGTCATGTAGCCGGATTTTAAGGAGTAATTTTATAATTTAATAGATTATTTAGATCTCTTGGTTGCAGGTGGTTAACTCTATGATATTACAAATTTATGTTCATACAGTAAGTTGTTGATTAGCTAATGTCATGTACTACGCAGTTTATTTTATTCGAATCTGACTGTTAATTATTCTAAATAAGTCATACTAGAGTAAACATTTTCATGTATCATTTTTACTTTTTTTAGCATTTAATAAATCCTCACCTGTCATCTTTGTGTTTTTGCGTCGTGAGATTCATGGTTTCAGATATAAGTACTAGTGTTTTACAATAAACCACATATAATTTCAATGATCTGCATTTAACAGTTTGGTAGTAAGATTTTATTTTCTTAATCGAGTCACGAAAACACATATTTTATCATAAAATAATTTCAACTTTGGTTACCCAACAGAAACACTTGACGAGAATGTATCGAGCGTTACTAGAGTGTCAAGACCAGTGATCTTTTATAGAGTTCTTCTAAACGTTTATTCAGATTGGTATTTTTTGTTAAGACTAGTTGAATAAATTGTGGTAGTATTAAAATTATAAAATTATTTGGTGGATTACCGTCAGTTGGATCAATTAGTTTGAAATTTCTATTTCAGGTATGCTCAGGTAATGCAAGAGTGTCATAAATTTTACTTACATCATCGAGAAGAGTTATTGACACCTGTTGCACAAAATGGAGTTTCAGATCTACTTCAAAAATATACTGGTGATCATTGTACACTACTTCGCACTGCTGGAACATTCATATTGCATATGTGTGAAGATGAAATGCGTTTGTTTAATCAATTCTTTTCATCAAACTTTTCACAATCAATTAAGTAAGCTATATATACCTATGTTTTTATCATCTGAATTTCATGAATTAATTTGGTTCTATCTTGGATAATTGGTGGCAAAGATCTTTGATATTATAAAATATTTTCACATAGATTAAAGCTTGATTAATAGGTGATGATAATGTATGTGAACGTCTTGGTTTTTATGATGTAAACAATTGTTAATTTTTGGTGTCAATAACGAATACTTGTGTTTCCAATAGTTTAGCATATCAAGACAAAATATCGCTTTTTAACATAATCGACTGAAAATAAAAATCTATAAAAAGGTCTTTTGGCATGCTAATCCTCGTCGTACAGTATTACTTCTATGTTAGTAAAACCACTTTTCTCATTCTTAATGTCGACACCTCTCGATAGACAAATGTAAACATTCCTTAATTCAGTCCTGTGGAAGAGTTCTGATTAGCGTGACGTTTAATGAAATGGTTATTGAATTACTAAAGGTCTCGCCTAATTTATTGATATTTTCGTTTATTCATTAAGTTCTGTAAACAAAATTCATCAATAAAAAACTAATATATATATATAGGATTAAATCTATTGTCCGTAGGTTTTGATGTCGATGTCAAAAACAGATGAAGTTTCAATGAGGCCCGAAAATTTATTTATTTATTTATTTATTTAATAACATAAACATTGTTACAAGGAGGCACCAATTAGATGCGCGCCACATAAATCATTCGATTTGTGTTAGGGCTGTGATACTGCCCGAGTGCCTAGACCGAAGCAGGTGGTTTTCTTAGGGGGCCACACCCGGAGCCTTGGACCTATAGGTCTGACCCACAAGGCAATGGATCATCGTGAGGAGATGCAGTCCCATGGTAGTCGGTGAACAACGATTGGTTCATACGCCATTTAATCCCTCAGGATCCTGGAGCCCATGTGCACCATTGGTTTGGGATCCCGTTAAAGCGCCGGACATTCGCTTTTCGTCCTCTCGTTTTCATAAACAACACCCCTGCCACGAGAAGGCAGTGAGTTCGACTTCCCCGACAGGGGCTGTATACGCGTGGCCGTGCGAGGGCATTTCTAAAGGGAGGGCGGCCCCATTCCACTCTCGGCCATACCAGGGCATTTGGGGGCGATTAGACTTTGGATAATTGTATTGATATATTTACAATAGGTAATCTATGTCAGTCTTAGGAATTCAATTAATCGAAAGTATATAGTTCATACACCATGACTTAACCGTTCTTCTATGCTAAACAGTGTTTATCATTGGACGATTTTGATTGTTAGATATCAACAGATATTAAAGACATCATACTTAGTTAGATATAAGTATTGAGTTCTGTAATATTGGAAAGTGGTGAGATGTGCTTAATTTTATACACTAATAACGATTATGCTGAATTTAGTTCCCACTTTTTACCAACATAATCTTACATTTCATTTTATTTTCTCTCAAAAAATTTTAATTCCTAGTCAAATGTTGTCTAAATTATGTCGATGTTTGTATGATGCTGTTAGACCTTTAATAATTCATATCAATCACGTTGAAATATTATCTGAACTTTGTGATATAGTGAAAGATGAATTACTTCAACAAGATGATCCTAAAAAGGCAACTAATTGTAAGCATATTTAAAATAACTAAGACATTTCTTTATATCGTTCTATATTTTTATACTTAACGTTGTAGTCTATTGCTTTAAATTATGAATTCATTATGATATAACTAGTTTTCAATGTCCTAAGGTTAACACCTACATATTGACGTGACATTTTAATATTTTCATTTCGATTAACCTGAATCCTTTTATAATTAATAAATATGAATGTTCCAGCGAAGAAAACGTTTTCCCAATGATATCATTTTCCAGAGCCGTACAATCGTATTTATAGTTATTTTTTACATTTAATGGCCTGTAATAAAAATGGATAGTCATTACGTCATTAACAGAGGTACTGAAAGTTAATCACAATTTTAAGTTACGTGGTAGATATGAAATACCATATAGAAACAAGGCATGAAAGATTATCTACTTAACGATTATAAGGAAGATTGAAATATTGGACGAACACGTGTCAAAGTAAGATACAGGACAGCGATATGGAAAATAATTGTCCACTTGAAATATATAATAAGACGAATAAACTAAACTAAACAGTTCTCAAGAAATAATTGACAAAATACGAAGGTGTTAGGACCATGATGAACTAAGGCAATGAATGCACTGCTTCAGCACACAGAGATCAGGCCTAAATCGATGAATCTCTGAAGCATCCATCATGTACAAGTTTCTTATCCCGCCTTCCTTTAAATCAGTTCGTCTTACTTTGTGAATAATTTCTAATGAATATTCAGGTATAAATAAATTGCTAGAATTGACTAGATGTTCAGCAGTTAAGCTATTGACTCACCTTTCGATAACCGTGATGGATACCGTTGGAACGAGCCCGCTTTGTGTGGTCAACATAGTAAGCTGCACCAGAGAGAGTGAACTGGTAGATGCACACTGAAGTATTTCAAAGTGTTAGTCTACCTTTGAAACACCCTCGTTTTAGGCATCTGCGGGAAAACACTATTCTCACTTCAGTTGGATAATAATCCTCTATTTTTATTATTGACCATTACATTTTAAAATTCGCTATAAATACGATTGTACAAGTCTAGAAAATAATATTGTCGTAAAGAAAATTGTCTTTATTGCAAGATCTTCATTTCGCTTAATATCTTAGTGGACGAAATTGCGTGTGAAGCCACGTTTTTCTACACTAAGTCATGAAAAGTAATAGTAGTTACTCAAAATTCATATTTATAATGGATTCACCTAACTATTGGATGTTATTTTTAAAAGAATAAAATTTATCCACTAGCCGGCATGCTTTTATCTAAAGTCTTTCCCAATCTTTCAACATTAAAATCATAGTCTTTATGAGTATAACAATGTCATTTCAGGGTCTGTGTTAATATTCTAACCCAAAAACAAAGTTATATTTAAAAATCCCATCACCAAAAAAATTTACCCAAAGTTGAAGGACTATTGTAACAAATAAAACAAAAAGTAAAAACTTACATACCTGCAATGGTGACGTGGTCAGGGACCGTCGGAAATTTAATCGACAAAGCGCTTCTTCAAAATAACTGAATTCAAATAAAACTACAATAAGTACCATGAATCAGAAAATATTACGCGGTTGCGTTAAGCATTAACTACAGCAGGTAATGGGAAATCAATTTAGTATCCAGGACAATCATAATATCGCATACATTTGAATTAGAGCAGAATAGGGAAGTAAAACATTATCACAGACGGAAAGGCTAACTCAAATATATAAATAATCATATGAACTGATAGGATCATTGATTTTTACTTGAAATTAACACTAACCATCAATTTGTACAATGGAATATTGCTGAAACTACTTTCGATTGACAAGTAGTATAGTTTGACACATGGAAATAAAAAAGCATAGGAGCTTGAAAAGCAATAGTCAGATTTCACGTTAACTATAGTTTAAACAATAGTAATCCAATCTCTGAAGGTAGAAAAGTGATCTAATGTAAGATGTTGGCATTTTGAAAATCAAATATATTCATTAGTGTATGACTACTTTTGTAACTTTATGCTTAGTGCTACTTATCAACTGTTAACGTCTAGCAATTTAGTTATTTTAACCTACAGTAATATTTCCATACTGTTCATCTTATGTATGTAGATGGAAATTGTTAGTAATTCTTTCGTCATAGCCGAGTACATAAATCTTCACTGGAAAAAAATGATTTAAAGTTAATCAAACCTTTTTGGCAAAAAATTCGTTATCAACTACGTTCAAATTATCTTATAGTTATGCTTTTTATTTGTTACGGATAAAATATGTTTATTCATTTTGTACTTTTAACTTAAAGCACCAGATATGCTGGCATTTAATGATCTCTGTGGAATGTTGTTGGCTGATATTCAAGAAAGATTAATATTTCGTGCACATATATATGTTAAATCACAAATTTTTGGTTTTGTTCCAAGTCCTGGAGATCTTTCTTACCCTGAAAAATTGGAAATGATGAACGTAAGGAAACTATATCTGCTTATATATATATATATATATATATATATATAATACAGCTCATGTTTAATAAGTCTTTTTTTAGTGTTTTCAAACGTTCAACGAGTCATTTAAACTGAGTATACTTAGGACATAAATAAAGCCATTGATAAACTTGCTGTAACATTGTGCATTTGAAGGTGGTTGATGGAAACCCTCAAAACCTTATTTTTATGCTCTTCAGGTTCGCTAGTAACGTATATATGTTTCCTATCTTAGATAGTTTTATTTAATGTAGAATACTAAATTTTATCTCATTTATCAGTGCTTCGAAGAGAAATCCATGCTTAAAATCACTTTCTTCCATCTTAGCTTATTTATATCTGCCAAATATAAACCACAGTAACTAAGTGAACCATAGACATAATTTGTATCTTTCCACTAAAGTATACTGGATGGTCAAAATTACATATCTGATGTTAATACTTTTTTATTATACCTTATAATATCACCCAGGAGTTAAAATCAATTCATTTAAACTCTTCACATTTACTATCATTCAGTTAGGTACTCATTAACATTTAATTAATCTCACTAATGATCTATATGAATATATGTCGATAACTTGACTGGATTGTATAACACCATTTTTTGTTCTTTGAGTTGATTTGTATTATTATTCTTTCTTATTTATCCCATCTACTCGTTTCATACGTCATTTGTCCATTGGATTCGTATATTTAGCTAATCTAAAACTAATGCTAAAATAATTGCAACAGTGATTCTGTGGAATAACTTTATAGCTCTATTCATTCCTGTCTGTTGTAATATTTAATAATTATTATCCATTGTCAAGCATCCTATTTTCATGTTTTTTATTTAACGGATTTGTAGGACATAGCAAAAAGTATTTCGATGCCTATTGATTCAAACAATTCACCGGATAAAGAAAAGGAGCATGAAAACTCTGAGGAAATTGTCGCAGAAAGTGATTCTTCCGAGTCCAATTTACAGAATAAGTCTACTACTTCTGATTTGGCAATTCAACCAGGACCTAATATGTCTTTAGCTCCAGCAGACTTACATGGTATGTGGTATCCAACAGTACGTCGTACTTTGGTATGTCTCTCAAAACTCAATCGTTGCCTAGATGTAAGTTTATACTTTTTCTCAAGCAACTGCTGGAAATATATCATAGAAATAGAAACCAATATATTTATCATATAAAAATTAACTATGCTTGTCGCCACTTTGTCGATATGAATTAGAATGTAAGTTCACTGGCTGAATTCATCAGGGCAACTGATATCATTGATTGGAGGTGCAAATTTCAATGATCTAAGGCTGATTCGAGAAGTTGATGTGGCGGTTTAGAGTTAAGCTTTAGTCAATTATTCAGTCATAAACAATGTGTAACCCGGTACATTTATTCATCGGTTAATTTTGCCACACCACATTAGCAAAGCGAAATAAAATTATCAATATAAATCCCATAGTAGTAGAAGTAGTAACAGTATCAGTAATAGTTGAAAAGAAAAGAAAAAAAAGGTATAAGGATATTTTGGGACTTTGGTTCTAAATGGAAACAAAGAGTAAATGCACCTGCACCGTTGCAAATGATTCTGAGCCATGTCACATAAAGTATCTAACCACTGGCTGTGATAATCATTTCCCCGACCCTATTAATATGGTTCAGTCTAGTTTTCAATGACTTCAATAACTAGTGCCTGACAGCTAAGCTTAACTTTACAGTGCTTAGATTCATTGTTCAGACCATGATTTTTACGCGTTTGAGAGCCTAATATTCTGAAAGCTAACTCAAAACTATATATGTACTGCATGCTACTTGTGCTGACAGATATAAGCATTACTTAGCAGCAATCGGAAGTAGAATGCCTGCCAGCAGAAGATTGACTTGAAGAGAGCAGGAAAGGAAATACAGCGCAATTAAAATAACAACAGAGTTGGAAGAATGTATCAACTGATGAAAGATTTCCAAATAATGTATTTAATGTGTTTTCGTACTTTATAAAGGCACTTTGTCATTTTGCGTTAAACAATATATATACAAATTCACTGGGATCTGTTACTTAGTGACCAATAATCCTGTTTATTGTGTTGCATATTCAGTTGTGATGGGAGATGAAGTGGTTTTCAGTAGCCAATTATGAGCTCAATGTATCAATAAATCTTTAAAACATTTTTGTTTCTTTAATTATGACAATGATATGTCAGCTTGTTATAGAACGCTCAAATTTTAAACAATCTAGACCAACGGATTACCAAACTTTGTCTCCATTTTAGCTATCTCTGTTTTTCGACATGTGGCAATTTGTCCCAAACGCAGTTCTTTTCGTTATTCATTCACCTTTATTTGGTGTATCTTTTGAACAGGAATTGAAGTCATTTTTTTGTTGATATTGACGTCCTGCTCTACAAGACGTATTATTTTCAAGCTTTATAGTGTCCACGGAGAATAAACGAACGTAATCAAGTGCGGATTATTATGTATTCTACTTTGGCTTACAATTTTGGTATTACCAGGTAGTGAGGTTCAAGCCCAAAACCTACTGCATGATAACCGAATAATTTGATTACTAAGGCATTTTCCCACTGTTTGCTTTTGTGCTGTCGTATTCAATCATGTATACATTCATACACACATGTATGCTGTCTTATTTATTGTGGCATACACACATTCACTTTCAGACTGATTCGTTTCGTGGTTTGGCCCAGGAATGTGTATCCATGTGCGTTCAGTCATTAGTTAAAGCAAGTGATTCAATTAGTCTCCGTCGGACAACCATTGATGGTCAATTATTTCTTATCAAACATTTGTTAATACTTCGTGAACAAATGGTACCATTTGGCATTGAATTTTTAGTTAAAGAAACTAGCCTAGATTTTTCTCCATATAAAAGTTAGTTATCCTGTGTAATTATATTTTATGTATTTTGTTTTTAAGTTGTATTATACTTTATCGCGATTATTGTGTTCTACTCTTAGGATGATGAACCAATTTTTTCTAATTGCCAGTCAAAATTTTGGACAGATTGCTTCAAATCCCGTCTCGTACATATACCAGAAGCTATAGGAATCCGAATCTATAACCATAGTTTATGCGTTCAGATGAAATTTGTGACACCTCTGTTCTTCCCAGGCCGTATATGACTTAATAAACAATTTTATTGATGTTTTCACATCCCATATTCGTTTGACATTTTCCACATTTCTCTGTTCGTATTCTTCACTCCCGAACTATTTACACACTTATTAAGTAATTTTTATAGTGTTTTGTGACTATTATTTTTAGAATATTTGTCTAATTTTGATTTGCTTCCTATGCTGAACTATTGACTAGTACACTCGGTATTGTTTGCTTGTATCTTCCCATCGTTGTTTAGGACTGAAATTGATCAGTCTCGTGTCGGTATATGTGCATCCTATGCGGACTGCTCGATATTGTCACAAGTTTTATAAGCAAAGATGGATGGTGGCTAACAGTGGAATCCAGAACGCTTGTTCCGTCCTATTTGAGACTCGTCAGCTGGATTTACCTACATCCTAGAGTTGATGTTCACTCCGGTACTTGAACCCAGTGCCATCCGTTTCAAACGCCTTCGTGTTATCCACTTGGCAACTGAGTCCTGATAGTCACCTGCTTGTGCATTGGTGTGAAGTTTAAATTCACTTGGTATTGTTTGCATGTATCTTTCGATTGATGTTTAGGATTTCTAGCCACCATCCATCGTTGCTTATAAGGCTTATCGACTAGTACTTTTATTTTTTTATTCTTATCAGTTCTAGTACACCCGTCCTCCTACCATCATTTTGCACTTTTTACCTATCGTGTGTGATCGTTGACTCATAAATTACCTTGATTGGTTTAATATTTTCATATAAATATTCATGTAATTTAGAGTAAGACCTGATGACAGTGTCGTTCGCTTATATGTGTTGTTCCAATCTCAATTTAGTTAAACAGCAATTCATCATCTTAAAATATGATTGAATGTTACTTAATATCATTTAGTGATCCGTAGGCCATTAGTGGGTGATATAGCTCGGACGCAGTTTCAATGTTGCGATCCACGTATGCATAAACTTTTGTCTATCGTTAATTTATGCTGTCATGATGAACGTTGGTTATTTCAATCAGCGGTAGCCGGTACTTGGAGAAGACTCTGGAGTTTTCTTATGTAAAAGTCAAAAATATACTAACTTTTTTTGTATTGCGATTCCTACTGTTGGTCCTTCTCGACTCCCTGGTTGGGGTCTGAGAGATGGTGCAACACAGTGGCTAGAGACGTTATCAGATATAGCTCAGAATAGAAGCCAGTGACGATCTTGCTGTCACCTTCTTTTACGTTCTTCATAAAAAGTGGTTGTATCTTCCTTAACTGAAAGGATTCCCCCATTATTATTATTATTATTATTATTATTATTATTATTATTATTATTATTATTATTATTATTATTACACTACCTTACAGTAATCTGTGGTCGTTATTGTTCTTTTTTTCTTTTACGCTCCTTACCTTCTTTTTTCTCTTCTCATTCTCATTGTTTTGTGTGGCGCATATATATTTGGTGCCCCCTTGTACCAATATTTATATGTTCAAATAAACAGTAAATAATAATAAACTTCCATCTAACCGTGTTTATTTGTAATATAATTACATTACTGTTCAACCATGTTCTAATTTGGGGGACTTGTTGAGTGAAGTAGTTTTCAAGAATACTAAGCAATAAGGGTAGTTGGGTCGTAATTAGAGAATTTATACTAGACGATAAAGTTGCAATGTGGCCATTAAATTAAGTGATTCTACGTCCAATCCACTTTGCCTTAATATCACTTGGTTGGAAGTAGTCGAGAGGATATACTGGACACATGTTTCGTGCTCGTTGACGCTTGTCAGCAAGATATTTCTGGAAATCTAGAGCAAACTTATGCTTCTTGGTGGAATCGAGAGAGAAGATCTTACTCATGTAAAATTCTATATTTATCAAATAATCCAACGAATCGTATAATTTATTTAATTTTATATATTTTTTTGTTGTATATTGTTTTACAGATGTAGCACTCAGTATTTGGGAACAAAAAGGAACTGGGTTATTCTCATTAAATAAAGAAAATGCATTATTACGATTTCTATTAGAAACTCCAAACGCTATTGATATTGAATTGGATTCTAGACGTCAGTTAGATAGTCAATTAAAATATACTTGTGAACTACTTATTGAACAACAAGTTTTACAATTAACCGGTGAAATGTCAAATTTTCTTAAACGGGTCTGTAATATTGGATTATTATTATTATTATTACTAATTTTGTATTACTGTGACGTCACGTTAATTTTTTTTCAATTTCGGGAAAAACACCACATACACATCAGTAATTTCATACAACTTGATCTTTTGATAAATTCAAAGCACGAATAATAAGATTTGCAGAATAAAATGAATCCATTCCATTTCACTGCTTCTCATCAGATACAAGCAGTTTAAGGTTACAAGAATTAGAATTAAAGGGTTAGTATACTTTGATTAGTGAAATTGATACCTGGTTCTTTGAAATAGATCCGAAAATCATAATAAATCTATAAAACAATACAATATACAGCATTCAACAACGATATCATCTAACTTGAAATGGTTTGAATTATCCCATTGTTGATTATATTTTTGATTGAAATTCAATCAGTCAGTTGGCATATCTGCATCCTGTCCAGATTACTTCAATATACCTATTACGACACAAGTTGATATAAAATAGATGGAATATAGCTAGAAGTGGAATCCTGGACGCACGTTTTGTCCTGGAATATAGGCACATTCAACTGACTGTTCCCAAATAGGACGAAACACTTGTCATGGATCCCACTGCTAATCACATTCTATCTATTCAATGTCAAGGATAACACTGATGAGTATTTATATGTCGCGAAAAAAAAGATAACAACTAATTAAGTAATAAAGTAGGCGTAGTTACGGAAAATAACAATAGAATGTAATCAGGGATTATATAGTCTTAATAGAAATAATGGGCAACAACATAATTGATTAGCATAGTAAAAGTCAAGGTTAATTTGGGAGCATCAATAAGATTGTGTAATAAGTAAAATTATTTGATTACAGTTCTCTATACCATGATAACAAGAGGTTTATCATAATTTCCTCCTGTACATTGAGGTTAGATTTCGAAATCTTTCATGAAGATTACATATACGTATACATGTAAATTCAGAAACGCAACTGAAGGCGATGTTATATGGTTCACTTTTGAATGGTTTAGTGAGGATTTAGTTTTGTGTAATGAAATCAATTAAGCCTTAGGAAAGCTCTGTTTTATAGCTGCATCAATTTCGGCTGGAACCTCACCCACCCCCTAATGCAAGACGGATAAATATAGGCTATTTGGTAACTATTAATTGTTTACAATCGTTTAGCATATAATTTCCGATATTTCATAACAAATTTCCGAAGGTATATATTTTCTATTACACTCTTTTTGAACTGCTTATCGTATTCATGTTTTATTGCAAACTTTATGTTTTCATAAGGATTGTTGAAATTACAGAGCATATACAAAGCATATTATCACAGCTAATAAAAATATTATCGACATACCGGGAATTGAGTTCAGACCCAACAACCAGTTATACAAACAAACCTATGAAACTGTCATAGGATCATCACTATGAACTGCCTTGACCGAGTTCTGTTTAATCAAGATTTTTCTATTGTTATATGTAGTAATGTGTGGATAAGTGATGTAACTTCTTTTTTTTGAAGAACCCCAGAAATATGTTTTTCAGTGTATTTGCTTGAAATATATCAAATAAATGACTAAATAGTTTGAAAATTATCCAGCGCATTATGCTATTTCATGGTTTCGATTGACTCCTACTAAACAAATGGTCTAATAGATGAATAATTTAAATCGAGAGATAGAATTTAACTTAAACTTAAACCTAGATATTGTGACTTATGTCACTGCTACTATCCACTGACGGACTTTTGTCTGCACTCTAGTTGGCTCAAACATGCGGTAGTTACTTTTCTTTATTGGGTCACCAAATTCTGTAAAATCATTTCCTCATCTCATAGAACATTCTGTGAATAATTTCCGAATTTTTTCAATGACAATTTTTAGGCTCATTCAATCCTAGCCGCTCCAGGTGCACGTCTTGCTGACCAACCGTTCGCAAATCCATCATACATAAAGGAAATAGTTTCGAATGCGCACCGATCACTCTGTATAGCACTTGGTCGTAGTTCTAGTTCAAATCGTCCTGATACAGTAAAACACCATACTGTGCCAAATTTACGAAACTGTCTACATATTTATCTAGCTAATCCAGATACAGAAAATATCTTATTACGTCGTATTCAATCAGGTATTATATCACAATGGAGATCCATGTATCAATTGGTAACTGATCATTATAATGATGAGGATCGTATAATAATCGGTTGTCCAACAGAAAGTCAAGTAAATCATTCTTTTATTTAAATTTCTAGCGAACTAACATGCCAGTTGTATAGGAAAAATAGCATTATTATTGAATCGATCTATATATTTGTACTGTTTAGCTGAATTTTATGTGAGTTAGACTTTCTCAATATACCATCTAAATGTTCTGTTCTGATATAACTTCCTCCTTTCGAAACTCAATAACTTGACTCAAAGTCTACATTAAACTGAAAGTTCTTAGTCACAGTAGCTTGTCTATCCATTACAAATCTAGGTAAAAATCCATTGGAATAAGGGTTAGTACGATGTGATTTGGATACTGAAAATAAAGCCTCAATATTGTAACCTAGCGGTTCAAAGTTGGATCTTCTAAAAATTAAGTCACTATTTAATTTTATTTCATTTTGTTTATTCGAATAAACTGAAAAGTTAACAGATGTGGGCTAGTTTACATTCTTGTGAACAGATGAAGCTTAATGATTATTGAATAATATCTAGTTCGGTAATTTGATTTTTTAGAAAACCTACTGAAAACAGTGACATTACTCGCAGATATTTATAATTATGTTTTTTCTTTGAACACGAAGGTACTTAAATTGTCAATACCCTTAACTGTGCAGTTTATAATTCTTAGCGAGTGCACTAAAAAAGTTAAGGATTAATTGTACACTTCAATGTAACGTTTTGTCATCTTGTGCAACCTTCACTATACACAACACACTTATGCACGTTTAGTAATGATAGCATAAAATACTACTTATTTTCAGTATAGAGTTGTGGAGATTGTTGAGTTTTAATTGAGATCGTGAACCTCCTCAGCAGGATGAAACGGTTGTCTAGTGCTTCCATGTTTTTAATGGTGGTCTAAAATTAATCAATTCATGATCTTAATTACTATTTGTTTGTGTTCACGAATAAAAAATACCCTCTTAATGTAATGAATTACATTATTATCGTTTTAAAGGAATGTAGTTATCCAATTTACCTTATATTGATAATTCTATTTATTTATTAAACTCAATTACTTTCGTAGTTTTAATTAATTATTGATATAATTTCATATACAAGTCTCTTGAAGTCAGTTACTAGTGAGCAGATGATTATTATCAGAAGGGGTTTGTGGAAATTTTAGAAATTTCATAGATTGAAATCATGAGTCAATTGAAGCTAGACCACCATGGAAAACCTGGACGCACTGGACGGCCGTTTTGTCCTAGTATGGGACTCCTCAGCAGTGCGCATCCACAATCCCGCACCCCGCGAAATTTGAACCCAGCGCCTATCAGTCTCACGCCAGGCGTTTATATATAGACGTATAACAAGGTCTTCCGTTTATTTAGATTTCAAACGTTACTCTGTTTAATGTAATTAATAACACATCTGTGAATGAGATTTAGCTATCCAGTCTTCGTTCGTTTGTAATTGTAGTATTATCGAAGATGTTGTAGACAGACAACATCTGACAAAGCGCTTGGCGCGAGACTGATAGGTGCTGGGTTCGAATCTCGCGGGGTGCGGGATCGTGGATGCGCACTGCTGAGAAGTCCCATACTAGGACAAAACGGCCGTCCAGTGCGTCCAGGTTTTCCATGGTGGTCTAGCTTCAATTGACTCATGATATCAATCTATGAAATTTCTAAAATTTCCACAAACCCCTTCTGATAATTATTTTTATGACGAGCTGCATTATTACCTTTTATTCATCAGATTAAATTAGATTGTGCAGGTTCTCAATGTACCATTTAATGATTCACTTCCAAATGTTTTAACCACTGAATAGAATCATATATATATATATATATATATATATATATATATATAAATTTTTATATATTTAAAAATATGAAAAAAAAGGTAATGATTTTCTTTCAACAATTCTGTTATTCTCTTATATAGATTCGACTTATATTTCAAGATATTTGGAATCGTCCAGTTCTTTCATCATAAACTAACTCTTTTTTTCATGTGTGTATACAGTTTAATTTTTTATAAATTTCACTTGGTAGTTCATTATTTTTCTTTTATAAAAATATGTAAAATAAATATATTTTTTTTATAATTCAATCATTTTATTTCTGAACGATAACAATTATATTAAAAATACATGTCTATAGAAATAAGAATAATTTTATGTTATAGAGTGATGTGAATAGAATAAATCAATTACTATTATTCCTGATATTGATTTGAGAATGGAAAACGCTGGTCGGCGGCCTATGCTCCATTGGGAGTAACAGGCGTAAGTAAGTGATTTGAAAAAGACGTGATGGTATTTATGATCACATTTTTTCGTTTGTTTTGCTCTCCCTCTCTCTGTGCCTCACTTATTATTTTTCAAAATAAAACTCAGCAGAACCATTATAAATAGACTGAAGTTGGTCTTCTATCATATATTGTCATTGTTATCATTATTATGAGTTTATATGTAGATAAAGGAAAAATATATTACTTGTCATGAGTTTATGATAATTGGGTAATTTACTTAAAGAATAATTCCTTCTTTAATTGATTTCTGAAACACAATGTACAATATTGACTATTGTTGAAAGGAAGAAGGTGAAAAAACAAACAATTTCTTAATTTTAAGACAAAAGTTACTTTTATGTCAATGAAATAAATAAAATATGTATTTGTTAACATTATGATTCGTTAGTTGTATCCATTTGTCTTCAACTATCATAATGCGTAATAGTAATAATATTATTACCCAGTTTAACATTGAAACATTTTTTTAGAATGTAATAGTAAATTTTGTGTTAAATAATAGAGATATTGTCTAACTGAATAATGTAAAGTAATATTGGAAAATAAAACTTTTTTTTTATCGAGAAAACAAAAGAACTATTAAAATTGTTCATTAAATTTATGTCGCTTTGTCATCTACATCAGAACCATATAAACATCAATGGTAAACAGCTAGATTTGGTTTTTTTTTTTAAGGGTTTCCATTATTTTCTTCAATGAATCTGTTTGTTTGTTTTTCAGAAAGAGAAATAAATAATAATTAAATTGTTTATTGATGATTAGGAATATATTTTTTTATTAAAATAATCTATTTTATATATTTATAACTTTCTGATTAGTATAATTTGAAGTGTCAAAAGGAAGCACTTGTCTTGCAACTTTCTATCACAGGTTTGCATCCTTATTCATTGAAAATACTCCATCAGCTATTTTATCATATTAATATTCAGAAAAATTCAAGTTACTTGTGCTTTATCTAACCATAGATTTATTCGTTTATCACAAAGAAGTCCTTATTTCTAGTAACTTATTCTACAAACTGGTTGACGTGCTGAAAACATATCTCATACTATTGTGAAGATCAATTGTTATTAGCTATAAATCATTTATCTTCCCATTTTCCCCCGTTGAACTTCGCCTAACGCTTATTTTTTCTAAGTACTCTTGTGGATCCTACTCTTTCTTGGTTGAATCTTCTTGTTACCTAATTGATACATATTATTTTCTTGGATAAAGGATTTCAGAAAATAAGGTGTACTACGAACTTTGAACAGAAGTTATAAAACGGCTGTATTATCTTGGCTCGATCAATTAGTGAACTGTTAGTATAAGTCAGGATTGCATCTACAATTTTCTTTATCATAAAAACTATCAGTTACTTGTTAAAAATTGCTTGCTAATTTAGAAAATCACAACATTGGTCTATCTAAATGTTACTTGTGTAAATATTTATAACAAATAATTTATAGTCGATAGCAAAGATTATATTCAACAAAAGCATCTTTTTGAAGTTCAGACCCAATTATTCAATTACTTTGTCACAGATTAACACATGTAACAAAAAGTGGTCCCCAACGTATCATAGGTTATCGGCAAATGATAATTAAATAAAAAACACGTATACTTACGCAAATAAAACCTATGACGTTTATGTATAATAAGTTATAGATGGTTTATTTTTTTATAAAAATGTGGTCAGGATTCGTAAAAGTATTTTACGGTTCATTAAAATGCTTTCTTCTTTTATCATTGATAAATTATCCACCGTAATAAAACTATGTATGAGTGGAAAGGATAAAAGATTTCACAAGCTTAAAGCAGTCAATAAACAAGTTTTCCACGAAGTTATTAGCGGAAACAGTGTTAATAAAGTTGGTTCTTTCAAATAGCCTCAGAACTGATAAGATGTGCTTGAAATAATTGCAACTGTTTGGACACAAACTGAACAGAAAAGGCTAACTCCAGGAAAGATTTTATATTCTACTCATGAAGAAAATGACCCCCACACAAGAAGTTACACTGATGCTGTACAAAGTGTCACAGAAAGCACTTATAAGATGGAAAACCGACAGTTTTAAATAATCAAAATATCCTTCAAAACAAAGTAGGAAAGGATTATGATGAATTTCATCCTTGTTCTATACACCCACTAGTGATGGCAACGAAGATTATAAAGACTCGCCTATGTAAGTTAGTCTAATTTTGTTTTCTATCTTCCTGCTTGTCGCTAAATGGATTACGAAGACCACCATATCCCAGGAGAAGCATTGGATATTGTGAATATCTTCGACGTAGCTGGAGGCTTTGGGATTGGCAGGTAAATAACCTCTTCACAAAACAATTAATGAAGTCGAAAAGTCAGTTAACCAGCAGCCTCCGCAGCAGTAGGCCCTAACTCACAAGAGGAAGATCAAGATCCCCAAATCCAACTTGTTAAGCGCCATCCATATCAAAATTGATAGCTGCGCTGAAAGAGGTGGAAGTCTTAGGTTACTTGGACTGTATCACTGACAAACAACGAATATCTAATTTCAATGGTTAAGATCATGAGTCAGATATAATGGCACGAATTGGCAAAGCAAATGCAGCATTTCTACAATTGAATATTTGGAACCAAAAAATTGTCACTCAAGATCAAGGTCAGAATTTTTAGCACTTATGTTAAAACGGTTCCATTTTACGAAGATAAAACTTCCAGAACTACCATCACCAAAAGTGCACAAGTTTTTATAAACAGTTGTCTGCACGTGATACTCTACAAGTATTAGCTAAGCATCATCAGCAAAATCCTACTGTGGCAGAGAAAAATCCTTCTTCCAGCTGAGGAAATTAGGAATAGATCCTGTAGGTGGATAGGACACGCATTACGAAAACCATCAAACTGAATCACAAGGCAAGTCCTAACTTAGAATAACTAAGCAAAAATATATTTTATTTGTCATTCAACTAAGGATCAATTTGATAGTCTTCGTAAAATATCATAGAAGCTATTACTTTTCATTCAAAAGTCAGTAATATATCTCTGAATTACTAGTTTTACTAGCTTTCATCGCTCGATTTTAAGTTAACTATGTTTAAGTGATCAGTAATGACGTAGTTTTTAATATCTGAGTTTAAAACCACGGCGAACACCATTTGAAGATAAACATATCTTTCGTCCTATTCTATCACTATAAGGATCCATTAGTTGTCTAACTGTCCTGTTAATAAATTATTAGTCTGCTCAAAATAGTAAACTTCGTCCTAACGCAGAGAGAAAACCAAATAAAATACAAACGTGGAACAAATAAATAGTGTAGAAAATACTGGTGAATATACGCTTTATTGTGATTATACTTTCAGAAATATATATGACTCCAAATAAAACACTTTAATTCAACCTACTTTTTATGTGCATAAAAATCAATATTTTCTTCAAAATTTCCATATTTATTCCATACACCATTGTGCTCAAACGATGGTAAAAGTTCTGTATTTGATTCGTAACCCATCAAATGTAAATGATTATCTCTATTTAATAGATTCACTTTAACTGATGGATCATGATGAAATAATGAAAACGATTGCGGTGGGCTTGATGATGTACTTGTTGAAAATGATGTTTTGTATTTTAATACTATCTCTTCTCTATCTAGTTTATTGTCTTCTTTGTCACCATGTAATTTTCCTCTGAATTAATTTATTACAATGAAACATACGCTTTAAGTATTTTGTTCATTATAAGTAATAATATGATGAGAATGTGGAAGGCTAACAATCTTAGATTTTTTAGTTTGAAGTTATGATTTTCATTGTTGTTTCACATTATTTGGTGAAACAACGAAAGCCATGGTGTGATAGAGATTGTGCTTACCGAATCCAATTCAAGTCTTGCTGTGTGCGTTGTTTGTAATCAATCGAATTATAATTCACTTACTAATTCGAAATATTCCATAATTATCATTAGTGATATCTATGTCATTATCGATTTAGTCAAATTGCACTGGCGTGGGTTTCTAGAGATTATTTTCAAGCCAAGGCAAGACTATTATTTGATCATACATAGTTTCCCGTCTAACTTTCTGTAAAGGGAAGAAACTTTTCAGAAGTGAAGTTCGTGTGTTACACTTATACATATGAAAGAGTAATCGTGGTATGCAAAATAGGACGGTAAAACACATAGTCAAATAAGTACGATCTCATATAGAAATTCCGCTAATCTGACAAGAATATGTGGTAAAAATCCATCTCCGTCCATTGCTAAACTAAATTCAGAAACTCTTCACAAAGGACTTTTGTGTCAGCATATAACAATTGCTAGAAAATTGATGAAACCCTGATCATACGACATTTTAAATGAGACTCATATTTTCGAAAGCAGTTCATGATTACTTGATTTCTATCTTCGTAATACTGATTTTAATTTTCAATATTAGAGGGGGATTCAATAATTAGTTCAATCTTATTTTTGTTTCCTATATAAATACTCTGGCAAATTAATTTGTGACAAGATTATCGATGATGGTATTTAAATAATCAATTTAAACTATTGTACTTAGAATGCTGAAAACGATTGTGTTTATCTTCAGGAAGTACATAGAAGAACTATAGGTTGTGGAGTTTTAATTGTTCATCTTATGAAATCTTAACGGTCTGCTTTTCCTAGTTTTGTTTAGCTTAAATCTGTCTGTTAATTGTTTTCAATTGGAATTTTATCTAAACTGTCTATAACTGAAGTTAACTTTTTTGGAACTAAATGAAATAAGTTCTTATGATAAATGATGATGAAAAGTAATAACGAAACATACTTATTTGTAGAAGATAGAATCTTTGTAGATTCCTCATTTAGTCTAAGATCGTCCGGCCATAACCTTTGCGTTTGAATATTGCGAATTGATGAGTTTAAGCAACTAGAATTATTGATTTTACAGATGGTGTTTTTTGCTAGATAAAAACAAAAAGTGTACAAATGTTTGTAATTTAAATAGCAAGAAATTGGGTGATAATTTAAAGTGTGCAAAGTTGCGGTTTCTTTCGCTAATTTGTGCAAATAGTTTCACACTAGTTCAGGCACATTAAAATAGTTTAATAACAGAAATTCCCTTGACGGACATAATCACCATTTCATTTACAGCTGTCAAAGCTTACATAATACCCTTAGGACACAAACTGTGTACCCGATAGAACAAGCATCCTCTAATGTTGATGTTCATTTAATTGCCATAGTGGAGGCATTACCGACTGGAATGAGTTCTTACTAGAAGTAATTTGCAAACTCAGGCTAGAACATTTAAATAAATCTCGAAAAATTTTACTGAAATAAAAACAATATTCTAAGTGGCCCATAATGACTGTGAAATTACTTACCAATTCTATGCAAACTATAATTTGTTTCTGGTCGGTATAACAATTCGGCATGAAGTTATCATAAAACGATAAATAGATCTATTAGAGGTTTATTTAAATATTTATTTGATTAGGTAGGATTTCAAGTTGTCTCTCTATAGCCTTTTGATCACTATCAATCTGTAACATGAAGACTTAATTTAAGTGTGTCAGTTCCCTACTTTAAAATTATTACGTAGTTTACGCAAAAACAACAAAACATAGATACTTTTACTTATATGAAAGTATTAGTTGCTTTCGGTCATTATAACTTATACCACCATTGACAAGCAAAATCTTGGAGTTAGTAAGGCGACATCCAAGGTTTGAAATGAATTTATTACCAGTATTCATATTTACCGAGAATGCTGTGAAAGTACTTTAAGATGAACATCAGCCAGTTTACTGCTTCAGCCATTCAGACTACACTATCCTGTGTTCTATATCCGACAAGTTTCGATTCGTCTGATTACGTGAATATCAGGGTTTAAATTGAGGTGCTACTGCTTTATTCTCAGATTCTGGAAAGATTGGGTTGAATATTAATGACAGAGTAACTTGAATTATTCAAAAGTTAGACAAATTGAGTGTCTGATCTTTTTGTAATACATTCATCTCCAAAAGATCTGTACAATAAATTGAATACTTTTTGAAATTTCAAGTTGCGACTATTGGAGCAGAAAATATTATATATCATTATCGCACCATCTCTTTAATGTTAAAAGTCTGAAAGCGGATTTTCAGGCTAAATATTTATTATATCAACCTCTCTTAGACGTATCATCGTTTTGTTTCCTGACACCAGGGATGCTTTGTATTTTTAGACTTAATTGTGCTACAAAATCGTCTGTCTGAAAAATTTACTTGAACCTTAAAAATTGGTTGCATATGTGCTTCAAAAACAGTAATGACATTCGGCTGTCTTTCTTTAGTGTTCCAAATTATTATTGTTTAACGATGACGTCGACGATATTCCAGAAACAGTTTTAACCAAATGTAGTGACGGGATAGGTTTTTACCTGGAGAAAAACCTTTCGACATGGAAAATGTACATAACAGTTTTTGCTGTGTAAAAATATACTGATTACTCAGGTCACATTTAGTTGATTAGCCATTAGAGTTTACAAGTAAACTGTATGTTTAAGACCGTTAATAATTGGAATAAATTTCCACCGTTAACAAGAACGTGATCATATGATCGACTTCATTAGCGAGCCATTGGAAATAGTCAGGAAGTTCTCTTATCAGAGTAGCTGTTTAATATCTGCTGATTATTATTCCGTTGAGTCCAATCCTCTCACAGCTAGAGCTGGACTAGTCTAGAAAAATATTGGTACAATTCTGCCTCCACAAAGTCGTATGTACAGAAATATTGAGTGACCTTTGCTTCTGATCAGTGTTGTTTCTGAATTTTCTAGAATCACTATTTAAGTATCATAAATTTAAGTCAACTACTGTGTGAATATTGCTAATGAATTAATGTAGTCATTTTAACCATAAAGTTGTCGGTTGGAAATCATTCACTTATTGGTAAGAAATATTTGTCTTCTCTTTACGTAACAAAGTAAAGGAAAGTAAGAGCTTCCGTTGAATGCCACTTTTACAAAATACGCTGAAGAGAAATGTCAAAAGGTAAGAGCTTTGATTGTTAATAAAGCAAATACATTTTTAGAATGAATCAAATATACCTCATATACGCATGAATCTGGAAACTGTAAATAAGAATGTATTCTTAGTACACATTACCAGATACCCTAATTATTTATATGAAGCTAAAATTAATCACAGAGTAAATTATGATGTAGTTTAAAGTGTTGTGTTTAAATTAATGATTATATTCCCTTTCATTATTATCAATCAGTGGGAAATAGAGTAAATATCAAAATTCCATGGATAATGGCGTACTATCGTTATGATTCATTCGTAGAAAGCATTATTGAATAAAAAATGAATTAAATTTTCAGGTGCATAAAACAGTTTATAATGATAATAATAATAACAATAATAGACTTACTAAATTGTGAAAGCAACTCTTGTATCAATTCCCACATTATATAAAGTGAACGAATGTTTTTCTCTTTCGTCTTGATTACAACAGACTAAAATTATGAATCATAAACATTGAAATATCAACATTCACATTAGAAAAAATTCGTTAATAAATGACTCATATATACACTTTTTCACTTCTGAATGTTTTATGCTATGTTCTCAAACTTCCGTTAATTTGAAGAACTCAATCAGAACAATATTGACAGGATAAAATGATGAATTTATTTTGTTTTCATCACTTACACTAATTACATACATTAAAATGTAATGAATAAAGTGTAGGAAACACTCTAAAGTTGTTTATTAGAATAGCATACAATGTTTCCTTTAGTCAGTTTGTAATATAAAATCAACCTAATTCCATATTAATTCTAAAACCTTAAAAGTTTATAACTGCAATAGTTACAGTAGAACATGACCACCATGATAGATATTTAACTGATTGTTATTTTCTGTTTCCACGTATTATCAAATCAGCACTATTCTTTTCTAGTCTATAGTTCTATCAATTTAATAGTTTAGCTTAGTGATCTCACCTTTATCGTTCTAATTCACCTTATTCTTTTGATTTCATAGTATAGTAGGGTTTTTCTAACATTTGGACCGGATATTGTCTGAACAACGATTAGATAATCTATATATATATATATGTATCAATTATGAAATACAGGTTTTTTTACCCGTTTGTGTGAGTAGTAGCCATGCTATCAGTAAGCTCAAACCAAATTAGATAGTGAGAATCGCATCCGTGACTTACTGCTTGAAATCCAAACGTATTAATCACTAAGCCATCATTTTAAAAAACAAATTTTTTCATTGTTTCGGTGGGATTTGAATCTATTTTTCGCTAGTTGCAACATAACAAAAAAATTTAACAGTAGATTTACAGGGACATGGAATAAAATCAATCCAAGTGATTTGTCTGTGGTATGTTGATAAATAAAGATTATATTTATCGAATAATGTGAAGTAAAAGTTTGAGTTTTTGTTTACATTCATATGTATCGTGAAGTGATTCATAGCCAAGTTGATAATCATCTTCAACACATAGATTAAAATGAAGTTATATATTTTCGCTGTTTTCATTGTGGCAAAATTGGTATACAATAATAATAATAATAATAATAATAATAATAATAATAATAATAATAATAATGGTAATAATAATAATAATTATTATTATTATTATTATAGTTTAATGAAACAGTTCAAGTTTAAAAAATGTAGTCACAATTTACCTTGACTAAATTTTTTGGTTCATTTCGAATAGTTAAATTCACTTCATAATATTTGCATAAATTAGTAAGATTGAAATTTTCAAGCCATTCACCTTGTAATATATCCACATCGAATATTAATACAACAGGTAATAGATTCTATGGATGGTAAAATATGATATTCATACATTTATATATATATATATATATATATATATATATATATATATATATATATTATATCTTTAAAAAAGATTATTTTATTGTTCTGAATGATAAAACCATGGTCTTGATTATTATAACTAACTATCAATCCGGTTACTTAAATAAATAGTCTCAAAACTTTATTAGTTCAAAAATAATCGAGAAGTCGAGTTCATGTTTTCTCTAATTCAATGAAATTAGTTTAATTTCCAATGTGAAATTTTGACATTCGTTTTGATCCTTTGCGTAGCATTTTAGCTAGTAATTTGTTTATTTTATATACTCCAGCTTGACATTATTTCAGGTTAGTATGTTTCTACCAACCAAGTGTGAATTTCATTCAGTATGATAGGTGTAAACTTTCAACTAGTATGACAATGATATTCTTCGTGTTTTTGCTTTTCATCGTTGATATTTCAATGGTCCCTGATTATCAAGGACACAAAAGAGGCCATATGGACCAAATAATTTCAAAGTACCTTTTTCAACAACTTACTTTTTTTTAAAAAATTTATATCCTGATAATCCAGTATGTTGTTACTTATAAGTGATTTTTATCAGTAACTGAAATTTTTTTAGAAACCAAGCTCAAAAAAACAACAACTAGAAATCACTGAAAAACTATTTTGTTCTATTTCATGATTTTTTAGCTGGTAGAAACACAATTCAATGTATCGTTAAAATTAATAACGATATTCTCAGATAATCAAATTGAAAGTCAATTATTCACATTTCCAACCACAGTTAATTTGTAATTCAGAACTGATAGAACAAAAAATCCAGTTGTCCAGAATCCTATTTTTCTTCATTAATTCATCTAATTAACCGTAAATTGTAAATTAACTTTTAAATTATAACTTATTTCAATAATTGAGATCATCACTAAATTGAGACTAGATCACCATAGAAAACCTGGAACCATTGGACAGACGTTTCTTCCTATTGTTGAACTCTTCAACAGTGCGCATCCACAATCTCGCCATACAAGATTCAAACCCAAGACCTATCATTCTCGCGTGCAAACTCAACCTCTAGACCAATTATCATTTTGAAATGATCTTAGCAAATCATTTTTATAATAATAATAATTACTTGAATAATATTTATTATTACTTACTGTTATCAATTGTCTAGCTAAAAATACATTATCTACATTACCATATATATGAATATGATTTAATTTTCTATTGATATATTGATTGAATAAATGATTGTTTAAATTTAATTTATTCAATGTTAAATGTTGATTTATATTTGAAAAATTAGAAAAATAATCAATAGAATTGAATTGATTATGTAATAAAATTGTTTGTGATGATGATGATGATGATGATGATGATGATAAATAAGAATTTTTCACTGATGTAGTAGAAGAGATAAAATTAATATTTGCACCAGTTGTTTCATAAATTAATTTGATTAAATTTTCTGATGAACTTTGACTATTTAACATTGAAGAATATTTTGTATCCATGCTCATATACATGTTTACTAGTATAGAATCCTTTTTTTTAAAAAAAAAGTATATAAAAAAGATAATAATCAAACTAAAAGATTATTATATACAATTAATCACAAAATATCATTAAGGAAATGATTATTAGAAATTAAACAAGAATCGTAACAAACTAAACAAAATTCCTTCCAGTTTTTAAACTTTAAATTAATTTCTCAGTCAATTTACTTAGTAAAACTTAGTAACTATTCCTACAGTTTTCGCAAGTGAATGAACCAATTCTCTTATTCAAATTTAAATTTAACTATTTCGAATTCAGAACAACATATATAAAACTGCTTCTGTGGAGAAAGCTATATTGGGTACACTCCCAGACAACGAAGTCAAAGAATTAGTGAACACCTACCTTCGTGACTAGGAAAAGGTACTGTCAAGACAATACGCAACTCGGTTCTATTACACTTGACCAATAGCAGTCGTGTAGTAGACAGAAATAGGTCATTTAAAGGTATCTGTCGTATTCCTACTAGTTTTCCTTATGAGGTTCGAACTGGTCTCTTACACTTAGCAGAAGCTATAGGAATTCGAGCTAACAATACAACCTGGGTGGCCTGATTGAATGTCTGGGCTACCAGTTCCTGCCATCTAGATATTTCAACAAGCTATCTGTTTCCTTGTTTGTTATAACAGATCATTATATCATTTAAACTGCAAAACCTATTTAGGCGCGTTTGTGAAAAGATTACGACCTTTCGCTGCACAAGTTACAAAAATTTACAATCGGATACATTGTGATGGCTGGCAGTATGTACTGAAAAGAATGAATATTATTCAGATGACTTCTGAAGTACAAACATGTAACTGGTGATCACTCAATATTTATCGTCAATATCTATCAAGAAATAAGAAACGGAAACTCGTTGAAATACTTCGTTCTGAGAATTCTATATTGTACCAAAAATATAATATTGAATAAAGCTGATAATAGTAATAATAATGTCTCTGTATTCATAAGAAATTAGTAACACCTTTATCTCTCTCTCTCTTGGCATTAGTAAATGATTTTATTTATTATTAATTTTCATACTCTTTATTCGTTTATTTTCCATCACCCCCTCCCACCCTTTTGTTTTCGCAAATATACGCTACACGGCCCAATTATCTGGACACTTCTTAATACGTAATCTTATAATTTTTAGGAATGTTATTGCCATGTCTATATTTTTCTAATCATTGACCTATTTCCTATTATTTAACATTGATTCAAGCCTTTATTATTCTGACACTTGTCATCACACTAACAGTTTGTACTTTTCACTTATTATGTTTAATTATGTAATCTTTACAACTGTTATCATTGACTCATAAATTTCCTTGATTAGTTTAATAATTTCGTATATGCATTACTGTAAAACCTGATGAAGATCTAATCGGAAATAATATTGTTCGCTTATGTATGTTGTTCTAAATCACAATATGAGAACTGATGTACGTACGTACGAAGTTCTAAGTTGTGACTGACTGACTGACTTAAGAATTGGTGGTTGAATGTAAATATTTTATGAGTTTACTATTTCAATTATTAAACTTATTGAATATGATGAAATTATTTCTTAAAAACAGACATCTGAATTCCTGACAATTCATTTCCTTGTTTAATAAATTGAAATTCAGCATTATACTGCGCGGCAGTCCGTTCTGTTTTAATTTACGGCTGCGAAACATGACCATTAAGAGTAGAAGACACTCGTAAGCTACTAGTATTTGACCACAGATGTCTAAGAAATATTACTGGCGTCTGCTGGGATCACCGGGTAAGTCATAGTGAGGTTAGACGCAGGGTATTAGGGAATGATGGTAAATCAGTCGATGAGGTTGTGAATCTTCATCGACTGAGATGGTTGGGCCACGTGTCGCGTATGCCTGAACAGCGATTACCACGAAGTGCAATGCCAACCGGTGTTGGAGATGGTTGGAAGAAAGTTAAGGGTGACCAAACCAAAACGTGGCATCAGTGCTTGAAGTCCCTAACTTCTAGTCTGAGCCATTATGGTAGATGCAGACTACTTGGTTGGGGTCCGTGTGACTATCGTAACCAATGGTTAGAGACTCTTGGTGACATGGCTCAGAATCGATCACAATGGCGTCGGTGTATACACTCTCTATCTTCCCTTAAACTAAGAGATTAATCTCGCTTCATATCTTTCTTTCTACGAACTAATTCTTTCTTGTACTATATCCTTATATGAAATCTTTCTTTTATATATTACCACCTCTGAATTAACTACTTTTATGAATCCGGTGTCCATCGTGTTGTGTTAATGAGGTATGGCAACTTTGACCGATGCATATATGTGCGTGGTCCTACGTTGTAGGTGACTGACTGACATATCAATAAACATAACGCAACAGAAACAACATCTTGTTGCATTACCTCTTTTTTTACTACCAGTCTAATAAATACAATTTTAGATTCTGTTATGACTTAATTGTCATCTACGATTTCACAGGACGTTAAAGTGCATAAATTTATTAAATATTTGTACTTCAAAGAGTTCAAAATAATCATAATAACTTACAATAATAAAAAAAACACTTACCATATTCTGAGTACAGTATTTCTTAATTAACATATGTACAACACTTTTAGTCTTTTTTGCATTGATTGTTAATCCTTTAACACTGACAGTTGTCTTACTATAAGGTGTTAATGTATAATGATTACGAAATATAATTTCAACATCATAAACATTTTGGATATGTTGAATAACCGGTGAATTCTGATTTATACGTAAATTTTCATTGTTTAAATAAGGTATTTCAAATGTAAATGTAATTGGAAGGATGTCCTGAAGAGAAATTGTTTAAAAAATAACGATCAATGTACTCTTCATCAGTTTTTAATCCAGAATTAGAGATTCAGAAATACATTCTACATAGATTTAGTAGAGAGAATAAAAGTGAAAGTACTTATCCAATATATTTTCTTGATTGTATAGTGACTAATTAAGTTGAAGATGATGTTCTTAACTATTCGCCATCATCGATTTAGGTCTCAGTTAACACTTCGATTTATAGTCTTCTCTGATTTTGTGTATACAGATCTTCAGATAATTCGACCACTGATGATAATCATATTTTTGAAGCGAAAGTCATAACAGGAGACGTTAGATACCCTGAAGTAAATTGGACTACGCACAGAGGTCAGCCATGTAATGAAGAAATCTTAGCAATACTTGACGTCAAATACTGATCTCAGTGGGTTTATGCACTAACAAGACATAAAAAAATCCTCCACCTAGTTTTCTGTCCAGATATTATCCCATTATCTGTACAAGTTAATAAAAAAACTTTAACATATTGACCATAAAATGATTACATGTGCTGTTACTACTATTGCCAAAGCCTCCAATAGCCTTTTTTCGTTACAAAAACTAGTCAATATCGGATCTAATAATGTGTAGACTGAGACTTCCAGGGAAATCTGTTAAGATGTCCAGATTAAGAAAAATTCCCGAGCACTGTCTCATAAATACACTGGACATATTTTATTTAATCAATAGCTCATACTTAAATCCTAGTACACTTGTGAAAGCATACAGGACTACTAAGCTTAATGGTTTATATATGTCAGTAAAGTATGGCAAGAAACTAATCTAATTTATCCAAATCGTAAAATCTATAAGTTTAAAGTCATCAGTGAATAGCATCCAGTACTTGATTGTAGTTCAAAAGTATAGATCTTAGTTCTTATTACCGATAGACGCTCTAGAGCACCTTAAAATGCTGATATCTCTTGCTTCTTGTATATTGACTCATTTATAAATGATTATAAACTACCGCTAATCTTTTCAGTAGTGTTTTTTTGGCCAGTAACAGGCTTTTAATTAATATTAGATTAGAAGTCGTACACATAACCTGTAACTTTATACAATCTATATCTTTCAATTATACTCAAACCATTAAAACTCTAACCTTAATATTGCCTCTGAAAACCATGCACCAGCGGTTATATCTAACTCCACTAATAATAGTATAACAATACTAGGCTTGAATACGTTTATTATTTAGTATTTTTACTAAGCTTCCTTTGCCGCCGATATTTTACCCTTAAACAATCCTTGATTAGTTTAAATAAAGTATATTCAATTTAGCAGATCAAAAAACAATTACACGTATATACGATGACATACCTATCACATTGATTTTACCGTTTTTGTTCTTTACTTTCCGGTCAGATTTTCTCTTCACTAGATGTAAATGATTATAAATACTCTTTAGCGACACTGTGATTACTCGTCAGTACATTAGCCATGCCTCTTAAGGATTTCTTAGTCCTCCTTTTTAAAAAATACTGGTTCTTAACTATCGCTTCACATTTTTATAATTAATCCCTGATATAAATGTCCTTTCAAAACAATTTATAAACAATGTCATTATAAGTAATTTACTCATGTATCTATGTTATTTACATGTTAAATGTATTTCCGTATCATCCTGATCATTTTTGCAAATTGACATGACTTCTGCAATCATTCTCATAATATAAACTACTTATTATTTAAATCTATCTCGGATGGAATTATCAATGAGATTGTTGGTTTATTATTTACTTTTCTAGTAAAAGATTTCATATATCTTAGAGGTATTTTTACTAAAAATCTACTGAATAGGTGATAAGTTAAATATCATTTCTTACAATTCGTTGATTAATTGACACCATTATTTTCTAATAACTTAAGTTAATGATTGTTTAAACACAGTATCTAATTAAATTAAAAATTAACCTTGAAAAAGCATATAAAAATAACCAAATTGGTTATAAGTATCATATTCTTTAAAAAAAAGTGTAAACAATTCAACATACTCGAATTATTCTTCTGGCTTTCTCGACATTCTCCAACTGACCAGATATTGAAACTTGATTACTTTTAATTACTGAACTATTACGATTTGAATCTGGAAAATGTATACGACATTGAGTAATCATCATGATTGTTTTAATATTCCAACCATAACGACCAATTATATGACTATGATTTGTATGCGATACATCAATTTTTAATGTTACATGTCTATTTATTTTATTTAAATCATTATTATAATTTGAGAATAATGTACCGCTTCCTTTTAATGAAATAAAATTTGCAAATCAAGATTTAAGAATATACATATTTCATATATAAAACTATTCATATATGGATCATAATTAAATTAAATCTTATTAATAGTTCATAGTAAATAGAAAGTTGGTTGCATCAAGCATTTAAATCATCCCTTGAACTGTATCAGAGGGTTTTCAATGGTGGTCTAACATCAATCGGTTTATGATCTCAATCAAAAACCTAATAACCTCCACAACCCTATAATGTATCAGAAGGCACAGAATTTCTACTTTCAATTCCTCAAATAACCATGTCTGCGACGAAGGACCTTAAATGATTTATTTCCAAATCAATGGATGTATTCCTTCTTTTCTTTCTTCCGAGTTCGTGACCTATTAATCTTCAAAAACGTTCTTTTCTTAACTTCACTTGTTTTTTTTTAACTTGTGACATTTTGGTTTATTACGATTATTCTTGATTATTCTGAAATCAAGTTTTTTGTGCTGAGAATTCTATATTGTACCAAGATGTAATATTGAATAAAGCCATTAATAATAATAATTTTGTTATGTATTAGCAATATATAATGTTCTTTCTTGAAACCAGTAAATCATCTAGTGGTAAATGCAGCCTGATAAAAAAAATCGTACAATTTCAGCGTTTATTTGGTGTACTAATCTGCATATTTCAAGGATATTTATCAAAACTGGTATTTAATAGTCGTTATTGTAAGCTTTTTCTGTCCTATTATTTACTGTTATATATCCTACCATTTAGAAACTACTAAATAAGTAATCATAAATAAGTTATTCAGTTTTCTACCGAACGTGACTTAGTTATACAAATGCTATTGTCTAAAAGATTATGGCAGACTGCAGTATGACATTTTACTTGTATTTGAACTTGTGTTGTTCGAATCAAAGATTTTCATAGCCTGCTTGTTGTATGCAAAATCAAAATGTTTATGCGTTTATGAGTCATGAACGTAGAGGTATTAAGTAGACTATATCAAAATTCAATAACGTGTTTTGATAGTTGCTAGTGAATATATTATCTTCAGAAATATTATCCTTGAATAGAAAAATTATAATTAGTTTACACTAATTACAAATCATTTGAAAGTTAGATCACAACAGTTTCATTTTATTTCAAAACGCCTTAACTACTTCCTTAGTCGTCTCTATAATCAGACCCTATCTGTTAATGCATGCATTTCATTCTGTTCTTGCCTATGACACAATATATCTTCTTATGCCGTTATGAAGTTCATAGTACAATCGATAGGTGACGTAAATTTTTACTCTTTTAAATCTCCAGTTAGAAGACTAGAAGTACCCTTTATTATTCATATATAACTAATAACAATAGAAAATGCAGAATCGGAGGCTATAAGACACTAGAATGCTAAAAATCATTATTCATATAGGTATTATGCTTTTTATGCATTGATGATTAGTGCATTTATAATTAGTCAACTGAAATTTAAGGACGGTAAAAGATAACAGAATAATAAATTTAATAATTGAATTCATGAGCCATTTAAAGCTAGAACACCATGGAAAACCTTGAAGCACTGAACGGCCGTTTCGTCACAGTATGGAACTCCTCATCAGTGAGCATCCATGATTACGCCCTTGGGATTCGAAACGAGGACCTATAGATCTCCCCCACGAACGCTTAACCTCTAGAGCACTGAGCCGGCGTCCAATGATGTTAATGTCCAACTTTAACCAATCCACGAACAATAAATGCACGACATAGTTTTCCATCGGGACTATATACATAAGTTTAATAATAAATGATTCATTAAATAAGAGCTAACCGAGTTTAATCTTTTTTATTTTTTCAACTATTTTCAACAGTTGCCATTTTGTAATTTTATTGAAAAATTCGAAAAAGAATTAATCCTGTTCTTATAATAATAATAAATTCATTTATATGGATTATGAAGAAGCTTTATCAAAAAACAAATAATATTTCTAAGATACTTGATCATACTTCTATGTTAAGTGATCTTTTGTGTTACTTACCTAAAGTTACATTAGGTTGATTAAAATATTTCGATAAAATTATATCACTTGAAATCCTATTTGGATTTAATAAACTCATCCTTATTTCTAATAGTTTCCCTTTCATCTGTGGAAAAGTAAATCTTTATATATATATATATATATATATATATATATATATATATATATATATATATATATATATATATATATATATATATATATGTCTCAAATAGATTTAAAGTTAATTAATCAATAATATATTGATTAACTTTACACACATATTACAGTTCCCTTTAATCCAAATTTATACAAATCGTGGGAATAATGATAAATAATAATCGAATGTTTTAAACAAACGTATGTTATTTTTTTTTAGATCAATATCTATTATATTGATTGATGTACGCTTTTATTTTCCCCAACCTTAATAGCATAATGTAAAATAGTTTTATTTGATTTATAGTAGTACAAATCATAACATGAAGAGGTGAATAATAAGCTGATATTGACAAAGTGTTTTAACAACATAGACTATCTAAGTAAATCAGTTAGAAATTCACGATTATTATTATTATTATTACTGTTACTTTAATCATTGACAGTAGTTTAGTGAGAAAACAGTCGATGAGTAAGCTCAATTTTAATTTTGTACGAAAATAACATGTACTAAGAGTCTTATGAAAGAAAAAAAGTAATTTAAAAAGAAGTTATAAAGAAAATTAGTGAGTTAATTTTGGTTAATCACTAAACATACATAATAAGTGGCATAAAAACTTTTCATCTTTCAATCCTGTTCGATTCCTTTGAAATATATCATCTATGTTTGGTGTTTTGGTACCATTACATTTTATGCATCTCTTTTCACTTTAATGATATGATGTGTGAGTATTTGATTCGAAAATATGGTCTAAATGAGAATCTCACTGAGATGAACCAGTTGTACAATCAAATGTCATTTAATAAATAATACTGTTTTAATATTGACAGACCACGGACTTGGTTGTCTCGTTTAAACACACAACATATAACAACAAAAGTGAATCTTTTATTATGCAAATTAAAGTAAGAAGGTAATATTTTTGCTTCTATTGAAATAGTGGGATATCAGTTACTTCAATGACTTTGTTATAGTCATGTCAAATAATATAAACAAATATAGAAATAAACTCGAATACAAGATTTCACTTTGACTCCTATAATAAGGGGAAACCATATCCTAGTGTTAATTAGTGTATGAAGTAAAAAAATAATGTTTAATACATGCAAGACTCAATTCATATTTTGATGAAGTTTTGTTCTCTGATCTGGATGGTTTGGTTGTGGAGCTATCATAGTTCTTCTGAACGACATCATCAGCACAAACTTCAGATAGAAGTGAAGTGTTCTAATTTCTCCACATGTGGTTCACGGCTTGTCCTGTACAACTCGATGTTGATTCGTTTTTGTTGACCTTAAACCTGTCATTGTTTACTTCTTTGTTTTGGTTGTATCTCCCATTGGTTTAATTTTTGTTCCTATGTTTCTGCATAATTTTCCTGATAGTCATAAAGTATTTTCCTTCATTTTTTTGTGCTATAAGTGTGTACAAGACAAGCTGTGAACCACATGTGGAGAAATTAGAACACTTCACTTCTATCTGAAGCTTGTGCTGATGGTGTCGTTCAGAAGAACGATGAAAGCTCCGCGATCAAACCATCCAGCTCAGAGAACAAAACTTCATCAAAATAATCTACCTGAGCTACAAATCTCCACTGCTTTCATATCCTTTGGCTTTTACTGAATTTTTACTTTAAAATATTATGTTCCACAGATGCAGTTTAAAATAAAATTAACTACCACTCATTACATTAAATTTATAGTTGTTGAATTAATATCATACAAAGCATCTAGAAATTTGTTTTAATTTGCATAATTTAAGAAGTCACTACTTATGTAAAGTCTCAAACCTATAAAGAAAGTCAATACATCGATCTGAAAATCACCATTCTTTATGTAATAGAAATAATTTTTATGTTACATTGGTAAGCGATATTCACCATTCAGATTAGATGGTGGTTGGAGGTAGTCAACAGGAAACCCTGGACTCGGGTTTCGTGCTACTTGGCACTCATCGTCAGGGTGTTTCTTTAATCTCGAGTAAACTGATGCTCCCTGACGGATTCGATACCGTATCACCCAGCTTCACAGTCAGAAACGTTAACACTGAGCTATCTGGGCCGCGACCGACCTCCTGTAGGACTGAGATGTAATCACAGTTGATTGATGATCAATGTCATGTGTATCAAGTCCTTCTTAGTACAGATCGAATGCTATCGATCGAGTTACAATGTGCATTCAATTAACACCAGCGAGTTCGTATATAGTTACTCACATCATGTTAATTAACCTGGTTATCCTATTGAAGATATATCTAACCAATAGCTTGAGAAAGATATTAAGAATCAGTGTATTTGGATTATGGCTAGTAGAAAAATTCGGAGTACTTATTTCGTTCTATTTTGGTACTCGTCAGTGGGATAGGCCTGAATCCAAGTTTTTTGTTTACATTGAAATTCGACCTCATAACTAGTCAGTTCAAATGTCAACAGGTTATCTACTTAGCTAAAGAGAACAGTTTACAACAATTCAAATATACCTCAAAGACTTTCAATTACAAGACACCATGTATCTAAGTTTAACCGATTAAAGAATCTGGAATAAGTTCCTTTGGTATTTCTTTTTTCAAAGATGTCAATACTCATTTTTTTAACGATTGAATAATAGTCTTCTTATCAAATTGTCTAGAATTGATAAACATAACGAAAGAGGCTCTACCTGTTGTTGTTGAGTAAAGTAAAGAAATTAAATGAACAGAAACAATAAACAGAAAAATAACCTGAATTCATTTTATTTCGTTGCTTCTCATCAGCAGCGTACAACCCAAACATAATGGTGTTAACCATTAAAAATCAGCGCACATACTTTATATCATAATGTCAGAAATGTTCCTTTCAATTTGCCAACGTACAAGAAAATGTTAATATTGCCGATAAATTCTTAGCCTCGTTTGATGTGTTATCATTATTAACTTCAATCCCACTGGAAGAAACTATAGAAATTATAAGTGAACATATTAACTTTCTTGAGATGGTGGAGATTTGTAGCTCGGGTGAATGATTTTGATGAATTTTTGTTCCCTGAGCTGGATGGTTTGGTACACCACCTCAAAATCATATGAGCGTAATACGCTTCTCGTTGTTCGAAAACGGTAGAATTTCACCAAAAGGCAGACTTCCACTCGAAGAATTCAGCAAGGAAATTTTTCCTTTCGACAAGTTCATTTATTTAAGCTGTACATTCGTATTTATAATTCATTTTTGTATTGTTTGTTTCAATCTTCCATCGACGTTTAGGAATCCATTGAACAGTCTCTTATTAGCATATGTACATGTTGTGAGGATTACCTCGATATTGCCAAGCATTATAGGCAAAGAAGGATGGTGGCTAGTTGTGGAATCCAAGATGCGCATTTCATCCCATTTATGACTCGTCAGCTGGGTGTACCTGCATTCACTCTGGGGCTCAAACACAGTACCGTTCGCTTTAAATCCATCGCCTTATCCACTTAGCTACTAAGTCCAGATAGCCACTGCCTTGTGCCAGACTTTTCAACTGCGATCCTAAACATCAGTGGGAAGCGTTGTATCCCGATGAGAATTATGAATGGTAACTTTTGAGAACTATTTATGGACCAATACGATACATATATTTTTTAAAGAAAGCAAAAACAAAGGTTGGTGCAGAATAATATGAATTCATTTTATTTCGTTAGGTTCTCATCAGCTGCTTACAACCTAAATTATTTGACATTCAACGTTATTATAGATGTTGACATACTTATACATCAGAGGGTGATGAAGGATTAATATATGTAACATGATGTAGCAAAGATTTCGTTAGAGTTAATGAGGTCATAAAATTTTTGTTTCGAATATATAGGGTTCGAGAGGGAAAGTTCCAGAACATTGAAATAATGATTAGAACTCATGGAATTAAGACACATTAAATTATTAAGCAATGAAATAACTGAAAATAGATTAATGGTAATAAAGAGAGATGTGAATTGAAATTGTTGAGTTATGAATGATGTAATTATAAAATTCAGAAAGAGTTGGAATGACGTAATAAATAAAGGGGGGGTAATGTTACCAGGGCAAAGAAAGATTTATTACTGTTTCTTTTTGTATACAAAGATCTGGTTTTAAACGTTTGATTGCTATTGCTTAGGCAAATTTCAAAAGGTTTAAATTTGATGGTTTGCTGATCAACTTGAAGGACTTCAATATATCGACTTCGTGTCCTGTGTCAAGGAGATGTCTTGCGATAGCGCTGCTGAATGCTTTAAGTCCATTTGATCTCAAACCCTTCGAAATATGTTCTTTGAATCGGACGTAGGCTCTCCTTTCTATTCTACCAATATAACTGCTTTGGCAGATACAGGTAAATTTTTATACACAGTTGGTGGTAACATGAAAGGGATACCTATCAACCTTTGATTGTGTCAAAGAACATGTTGTTTTGGACAGGACAATCAATTTAGCTGCAGGATATGTTCTTGTCAATGCAGTTTTTAGTCTCATATTGATTGGAACAACACAAATTGATTGACCCTGTGACATTATCGCTTTTGAATTTGAGTTGAATAAAAACAGGTTTTTTATTTACTGTAGTTTCTTTGGGTATTTTATCTTTACGTTTTCCATATTTCTCAATAAATTTCAATGGGTATCCGTTATTCCTTAAACACTTTTTAACATTCATAACTTCCTCTTCTATTGTATCGGCAGTACATATTCTTTCTGTTCTGTGAAACAATGTTTTGACAAGTGCCTTTTTATAATTGATTGGACAGAAGCTGTTGAAATTGAGATAAATCCTATTCCATATGTCTTTTTTATAAACTGGGCGTTGAACTATAATCCCTTCTTCGTTTCATCGCGATATCGAGAAAATGGAACATGTTTTCTTTTTCATGTTCCATAATGAAATGAATATTTGGATGAGTTTCATTGAAACGTTTTAGCAGATTTGTTGCTTGTTGTTGATTATTACATAAGA